CAGACGGGGCCTATGGGGCTAATGTTCAGCCGGGGTTGCGGGGTAAGCGCAATGAGGCACCGCGACCTCGGCCCAGAGCAGGAGAAGGAACAGGGGGGTTTTTAGTCAGTAAGAGTCTGACACTCCCTCCGGCCCACCACAAAAAAAGCATATTCTTAACTAAAACTTTATTCACATAATTATTAACAAGTTGAGCAAATTCTTATTAAAGACGACATACTAAATAACTTTATCCAATTTTTCCAAATGCTGATTCAGACTTGAGCTCAGACAAAATTTTCTGCGTGGAAAAGTTTAATTTAATATCTTTTTGTCACATCACCGAAAATGGAGGTCACGATTTTTTACGTTTGATTAAGAATTCCAGATAAATTTTATATAAGTATTATCTTAAATTGATACGCTGAGTTGAAGTTAATTGAGTTAGACTTACTGTCTTACAAACATTTTTCAATACTTTAGCATTTACCATGTAACATAACCGTTATAACACCAACTATTGTCATGATGCACACGATTTCAAACCCTATACTATGACTGTAAAATAGCTCAACATCCCTTGTATTCGTTTTTGACCTTCTGTTCGACATCCACAACTTTGACAAACGACTAAATTCTAATATTTATCATCCCATTCCATAAAACCTACATCAACAACAAGTTCAGAACGTAGATAAGTATTAATCATAATATTACTATTATTATATTTATATAGAACCTAATATTTTCAGATGCCCCGCCCACACGCCTATACCGCCGCCGCCCCCGCCACCCCCTCTCACCATACCACCCCACAGGTAAAAACATACTTAGACCTAGTTCCTATGACATAAATAGTATATCGTCATCTTAAGCATGATTGGAAGTCCTTCCTCGAATCGAATAGGGTGAAAACCCTTACCTATATCTTTCAACTCGGTAATCATAGACATTGAAAATTATTGCAAAGTATCAGCCCCTCTAGACAAGTTCAGTATCGGTAATCGATATCACTGTAACAAAACAAAACAAATAGAAAGTCTCCAAATATATATGGTGATTTTAATAAGTCCCGTCATCCACGAACTAATTCCCGTAAGTTAGTATCATGTGGACATACATTTGTTTCGTTTTTAAAGAAAGAAAGAAAGAAAAACATTTATTTTCGTGCAAGCGCACACACATAAAACAAAAATACAAAAAAAGAAGAAAATAAAATAATACTAAAACAATAAACTAAATGATACATATAAAAATTAAATGACTTAAAAAATTAATAACAAAAGAAAAAAAAAACAAAAACTTTTGTCTATGGTCCACAGAGTATAACATTATGCGTGATGTCGCGTAGTCGCCTGTATTTTTTATTATCTGTGGACCATAAGGACAAGAAAGTAGCATTTGTGTTAAGCGATAACAATTATGAATACTGAATTTGGCTTTGGGAGCTGGACATGACATTTTTCGAAAAAATTTTAAAAACTACTTAATACTAGTTTTAGCATACAAAAATTAAGCTTAAAGTTAGTAACACCATTTCCACATACTTAGATACTTTCACAAAATAATTATTATAATAAAAGTGCCAAATGACGTCACTTAATACACCTGACCACTCCACCTAGATAAAAATAGAATTAGATCTATTTCCTTTGACATAAATATACAATGCCGGCTAACGCATGATTGGAAACTCTTCCTCGAAACAGGTATGACAGCGTATCAAAACCCTTACCTGTGATACTTCAAGTTGGTAATAAAAAACTGGGAAGTATTATTTTTGGTATTTTCGAATATTTAATCTTTTTAACATACAGTGTAAAAATTAAGACGGGGTTGCAAGGCTAACGCAATAAGGTAACCCGGCCGCCCTAAATTAGGAGAAGGAACTATGAGTTTTTTGCCCAGTAAAAATCTGACTCACGACATCCTGGGCGATAAAATTCATTGTATGATTTTCCCCTCACAAAAAAAAGCATAAGAAAATTTTGCTACGCCGCTTTGTATACTTACTGCATATATGTATGTGACGTCAATTCTGCTTAAATTACCCTCAGTTGAAAATAGAATTAGCTCCAGTTAATAATATTACCTAACGCTTGATTGGAAATCCTTCCCGAATACAGATGACACGGTACGGAAAATTTATATTTAGTCCTTATTTATAACATGCTTGATCAATATTCATAATTATGGAAAGAAATTGTAAAAGCGACAAATTATGTTCACTAACTACTCGAGTTTCGAATATTAGAAATTAATAAGTAATGTACGTAATGTATTAAACATCTTGCTTTCAAATGTTTGCTGCTCAGGAAGGTAAATTACGAGATTTGCTATTTAGGTACAGCGAATCTTATCCATCAAGATTTTATACCTAATAATTTAAGTAAGAATCGTAATTTAGCGTCGAAAAATATGTACCAATTACATTTAAATTTGTTTACAAATTGATCGTTACATCTCAAATATAGAAACAAATCACAAACGTAATACGCCAATACTACGTATTTGCAAATCTGTTAATCCCTAATCAGTCATCAAATAATATAATTAGCTACAAACTACCAAACGCGTCCATTCAATTGAACATGAAATCGCTTTGAGAGAGATTTCTATTGATATCGTATATACATATATTCACTCAGATGCATTATACGAGTATTTAGGGCATTTGATTAGTGAAAGTGAGCTTAGGATATAAAATAACTAATTTTAATTATAATATTAGTGATAAATAACTTTATAATATTCTTTCGGAAAGATACTTTTCTTGTCATTGATACTATACGTTACTGAGCTATCCTTTAATTGGGAGCGAGTCATTCTTTGACAAGAATAAGCCGGCTAAACCGGAGTGATATCACGGCCTCAGTAATCATACCACTTGCTTTACAGTAAAATGGCGTGATGCAACCACAGCGTTCTCTTCCGCAATGTGAGGGAGGTACAAACCTCAAATGTGTCATTGTAAAAACAGGAGCATTTTTTAATGTATTGATCCAATATCGGCAGCGAATGCTGGATCCGATAGGCAACAAAAACTCGATCTGACTAAAAATAGTAGCAACCAGCAACATAAAACTTTCTATATAATTATGATGTTTTCCAAGAAATAATTAGGAAATATATTATAGAAATGTTTGTTTTTTTTCTTTTATGCTAAGAATATTTTAGTCATTACCGTCAATTGTAATGGAATTGTCAATAGTACCAGATTGTACGATCGTCAAGCATGTATCGATAAATTAGGTAGTTTAGGCGTGAAGAAAAGACAGACAGACAGACAGAGTTACTTTCGCATTTATAATATTAGTTTGGATTTGGAAGTTTGGATTGTGTAAATAGTCTAAATAACAAAAAAACATTATCAACAACACGATTATTTTGTTAATGATTTTATGTTCCAGAACGAAACATGTGTCGTTCGCTCGGTCTCACACGTTGACTACATTTGACGACTCCGTGATGCCGGCTGCTGTCAGTGGCAATCGGTTTAGGAGAGACTGCGAGAGACTCATTGATGGACGAGTAGTAAAGGTATGTTAAAAAAATAAGAAATTTTCCAATAATTTATAGAGCTTAGCGAGAAAAATACAAGATGTACTTTTAGCTCACCTAAAGTACACTGTAATGATTGTAACATAATTTTGAAATAGCAAAAGTTGGAAATTGTAAACGAGACAGTGTTCCTACGAGCGAATAGCTTCACTAAAAGGACTGACCGACAGACTGACACTTTGTATCTTTAAAGTTGTGTTGACGTTCAAAAGTGCCTGTATGGGTATAATTGAAATAAATAATTTTGACTTTGACTTTGACTTTGACTTTAGGTATCGCGTTAGACAATAGACTTCAATGGGATTCCCACAAAAAGACGCTTGCGGGGAGACTCAGCTCAGCTGTTTTTGCAGTTAGACAGATTACACAATTCGCAGACGTAAATACAACAAGGCGTGTAAATGGCAGATTAAAAAATTACAAGGAATAATTTTTTATAATACCAAAGAATAACAATAATAATAAGCAAGGTCATTATAAGATATAATATAACCACTGGCATAATATGTCAACAAAGAAGCTAACAGTTTTGCTAATTTTGTACGAAAAATTCAAGTTTCACATAAAATAGTATAATGCTACTTAGTCAACATATTTTTTTTACATTTACAGCCAGAACCAAAACCTTATTCAACGCTGCCGGTGATGTTTCAACCGTTTCCACCGTACCCTCAATTCATCACTCAACCTGCGCCGGCGCCGATTCACTACCCTCCTCCAATTACACCACATCCCACTCACCCGCCCCCTCCCGTGCAAAGGCCAACTCAAACAGAACAACCTAAAGTAGTGGTATTAGGTAAGTTAACTACTAATTATGTAGAGTAATCATTATTGCAATTACTTCTTAAATTGAGATTTCACAGTTGAAATCAAGTTAAATAAAAAATAACGTTTTTAAACTGTTAGTAATGGCGATTTTAGAGGTTACAGATTAACAGGTATATATCAAATAATTATCATAGAAAAAAGGTGTAAGCCAGTTACTAAAAAATGTCTTGCTACTCTACTAAAAAAAATTTAAGAATCTTATATTTAATTTCAGATTCTATAAAGAAAGGAGTTATGAGGACTCAAGCAACACAAACAGAAGTCTGTTTAGGTAGAAAACCGTTGCCACCAAACTACTTATCTTTGAGCCCTCGAACTATAAAAAGGGTAAGTTATCATTTCATCATCATCGTCATCAGCCTGTTGTCGTCCACTGCTGGGCATAAGCCTCCCCAATCGCACGCCACTGACCTCGATGTTCAGCTCTTCTCATCCAACCACTGCCAGCCACCCTGCAGATGTCGTCAGTCCACCTAGCTGGAGGGCGCCCTACACTACGTTTGCCTAGACGTGGTCTCCACTCTAGAACACGTTTACCCCAGTTATCATTTACTACTGGCCAATACACAATGTACCTAGAGTCTAAACTGGATAACAAAAAAAGAAAATTAAAATGATTTCAGGTTAAAATGGTAGCAGCTGGTGTACAAACAAATGGATACACGGTTGGAGTACGAAGGCTAACAAAATCATTCTCAGAAGTAGGGGGAGATCGATTAGCTGGCCGCGACTCTCCAAGTGAAATTGCTACCACGGTGGAGAGGTAAATAAAAGTTTAATGTTTATACTTCTACGATTCACTTATGTCTCATTTTGTCAGTTAATCATAAAATTAATAAATAAATGTCTTCATTTAAATAACGGGATAGTTACACAACAATAGCTTAAACTCAGTTATAAATAAGTACAATATTTATAAATGTAAGTAATACCTTTATAATAACTATCGTGAGACATACTAAATTAACTAAAAATCGCGGGTTACTCACGTGTATAAATTGAGAAAAGGTCTACTAGTTTCGAACCACACGTCAGTAGGCTGCGCGACGTCGCCGCGTCCGCGCACGCTGCTCATGAGGAAAAACCCCTATGTGGTTCGAAACTAGTAGAGCTTTTCTCAATTTATACACGTGAGTAACCCGCGATTTTTAGTTAATGTAATACCTATTTCCACAATTTATTCATTATTATTAACTAGCGGTCCACTTCAGCTTCAATGGTGACACAAAATAGCACCATTTTTAAAGGATGATATTATACATATATTTAAAACTTCCTTCTCAATCACTCTACCTATTAAATAAATCGCATGAAAATCTATTGCGTAGTTTTGAGATTAGAGCATATATAGGGATATAGGGACAGATAAAACGACCTTGTCTTTAATTTCCAGTTTCATCACCAGCGACCACGAAAAACTACATAGAACTCAATCTGAAGAACCACCAAGATCTCCTCGGTCTCCTACTGCTATGATTATGCCTTCATCTCCTCTTCAACGAGTAGACTCCGATGATGTAACATCTTCATCAGTCAAATCTGTTGCATCGTCATCACAAATAGACAAATCATCCGAATTAAGCGCTTTGCAAAGACAAGCTCAAGAATACTTCCAACAAAACTTCCAATTTATTCACGAAAGTGACAGAGACGACACCATTGACGATGACATAGAAAACCTTGAAAAAAGTATGGCATTAAATCGCAGAAACCTGGAATACCTCCAACAAGAGATTGCTAAACAAAGCAAAGGTGACAAATCACTCAGATCTATTCTATCTAAAAGCACAAGTGATGCTTCTCAAAAGACAATCAATTCTTCGCATCCATTTTCAAAAACTTCCACTTTCCAATCGGAACCTTCTACTGAAACTTCTGCTACTACGACGGATGATAGCGAAAAGAATGAAAAAGAAATAATAATTGATTTTGAACCGAGACCTGACGATGAAGCGATTCCGTTTACAACGCTTCGCAGGAAAAACAGAAGGATGTTACAGAAAACTTTATCAGAAGGAGAAATACTTCTAGATGTGTAAGTTGGGTCCAATTCTACTACAGTATCACATAAATGTAGTAGATGCACGAGTGAGTGTGAGAACATTTTCGCCTGAAAAATCTGAATAACTCAAACGATGTATGTTTCTCTTTTTCAGAAGAAAAACTGAACTGCAAACTAATGGCGATGGTATAAAAGATGCTCCTATAGTAATGTCAACAAGTCAAGAAAACATGACACGAGAAGACCGCGAAAGGGAAGCAATGTACACGCAGTATGTTGGTCAAAATTACAGTCAAACTCCTATAAAAGACGAAGGAATCTTTGGATTTGAACCAGATGGTTCTTTCAGGTAACAGATGAGAATAATGTTTTTTATTTGTAATTTGTACATAACTAAATTTAGTTAATATTAAACACATAGAAATTAGGACCATCGCACATAACATCCACCGACTGGCATTTTTTTCTGAGCATAGGTCTTTCTAAAAGCATTTTCTTCTATTTTCTTACATTCTAAGTATTGGGGCTTCCAATTTGAACGCTATGCTTCTGTCAGCTCTCATTCATGTTTCTTTCCATAGTTCTTCAGATGGAAATGCACCATATGAAGATTTTCATGAAAAATACATTAGTTACAAGCATGAACCATTTAGAAATCGAAGCGTAAGTTTTGAAGAAAAGACAGAAATTATACTTGACAAGGACGAAATTCCTGAGAGCAGGTATGCACGCATCACAAATTAGCTGTACCAAACAATATGGTTTGCGATATTAGCCAAGCATCTTGAAATGTAGCTTTAGCCATACATTCTCACATTTGTCAATTCTATATAGAACCAAAGCCAAATATCATTACCGCAGATCACTATTTTATGTCAGAGTTAAAATACAAAATTATTAGGAAACCCTTCGTCCCTTAAAAACAGGATAATCGACGATTCAGTTTTAAACCTAATTATTTCTTTCAGTACCGCGAGGTCGAGCCCAGGATCACCAGAACCGGTTACTATTGAGGTAGATGTAGATCAAAAAGTAAAACGGGCTGTTATTTCTAACACTGTTACTACTATTTTAACACCTTTGGACAAAGTGTCACCGTGCGCCTCAAATGAATCTTTAACGGTCGATCAAAGCAGGTAAGTAAAATATAGCAGGTACAAATAATAATCAAACAACATAGTTTAAAACATAATGACACATACAAAAATTACCATTTTAGGGACCATTCGGATGGATTGTGGAATGAATCACAAACCACTGTTTTGCAAGTTGATTCGGGTACAGAAAATGGCACTGTAATAAGGTAAATGAAAGTGGTTTGCACCTTTGTCAAAAATATATTGTAGTGTTTTTAATAATAAATGCTTATATTTTTAGCTCATCTGATCTTAGTTCATTGGCAGCATCACCTGGAGCATTAGCATTGTTAACTCCGACTTCAAGACGAAAACAACTGCTACTTCTTCAACATCAACAGCGATCATCTTTAGACACAGACGCATTGGATGAAGAGTTTGATGCATCACAAGTATGATTCCTTTGAAATTTGATTAAAATAATTATCTGTTCTTTAATTAATATCGATGATTATTATTTAACAGAGTCAGTCACCGACTTCACCGCGTAATAAACTAGACACATCGAGTTCTAGTTCCCAAGCTCGAGCTTCGTTATCTCCACCTGCAGTCGTTCCAAACATTACACTACCTATAACGAAGCAACCAACGATATCAAAATCAATTTCTCCAATAGTACCCCCGAAAGTGAACCATACACCTGCAATTGCCATTACCCACCCAAGCCTCGACCTGGCTGATGTACCATTCAAAAGGACTCCCAGTTTTATAAACAAAAAACGTGAAAGAGCGTTGAGTCCGTCTAGAAGAAAGGATTTGCAGAAAAAAGCTCAACAAAAAGAGCCAAATGGCACGATACCACATCAAATAGTAGAGTCTCCTTCTGAGCCTCCATTAGCCAAAGCTGCTAGTAGTGAAACCAGCTTAGCTAGAACTGATTCTGGAAAAATTAACACTACTGATGTATCAGAAAGTACAACAACCACTGAAGATTATGTAACAGCAAATTCAGATAGCTCGAAAAAAAGCAATAGTAAAAACCAAAATCAACGTAAGTATTATAATCGTGGACGGACGGTTAGAAGTTACTCGCTAGTTTCTTACAAATCTATTTTGCTTATAGATCCAGAAAATAACAAAACACAAGAAGGGTCGTCTTTTGAAAGTGCATCAAGTCTTTATTCTTCAACTCGCACTGAAAATATAGCCGAAGATATGGTCCTGCCAAGTTTTTCCCCGCCTTTAGAAATCAATGATGACTTTATAGTTCCTGATCTTGCATCGCCCCCGCTACCCTTGCCTGATCGATTACCTAGAGTATCTATGGAAAAAATTGAAGTCAAAGCCGATATCACTCCGACCATTGAACACATCAAGAGAGAAAAGACTGATATAAAAATTAAAGACAATTTACCAAAAGTTTCCAAGGTATGTATAGTATATAATAAAAGCTATTTATTACTAAAATTAAGTTGATTATTTATGATAACTATATAATTGTTTTTTAGAATATGCGTGGCACAATTAGTGGGAAGAGTAGTTCGAGTGGAAGTTATAGTATAGGTGGATCAAATCCAAATGTAACTGAAGATGCTGACGATAAAACACCTACTGAAAAGATTGTTGAATTACCAGAACGTAGTGACAGTAAAGGAAAAGAAGACAAAACGACTGCTACAGTTCCAGAAAAAGAACAACATGTACCAAAAATGATGGTAAATGAAGGAAGGTGTAATTTATTATTTTTATTAATAAATAGTATTCTTAAATTAACGATATTGTTGCAGGGTTCTTTATCCGATGACGAACGAAGTGTACATTATTCTTCATCAGGGTATTATGAAAGTCCCGTTGATGATGACGACGATGGAGGTTTAACTTACAAGCATTCACAAAGATACAAATCATCAACCAGACCTAAATCTTGGTTAGCGGACGAAAAACGGCGAAAAAAGAAGGGTTTCACCTTAGAATTTTCTAAATCTTATGATGATTCTGTATCTACTTCTCAAGACGATTGGGGTAAAAAACCTAAAGACCCAGACAGTATAAGTCAAAAGTCAGAACGTAGTATTTTCAAACCATCAAATGTAAAGTCTCCACAGGATGAAAAAGCACCTGAAACTAGGAAAAAGAAAACTCACTTTGCAGATAAAGCTAAAAGTGTCCAATCGTCTCCAAGAGATCCTGTAGACATCGAAAAATCAATAAAAGAAAAAAATATGAAAGAAAAGGAAGGTGAACCGAAAAGACCCGCTGAAAGAGAAAGATACGTTAAAAGAACTAAATTAAAACCAAAAAGTCCAACACAGAGTAAAACAGTTGACGGAAACGGTCATAGTTACAGACCAGTTCATTACGACAGAAGGGAAACTATGGGTTCAAATATGAAATTACATTTGAACATTCCGACATCAGATGATTCAAGTGAACAATACAGGAAAGAAGGTAATACAATTTCACACAAAGATTTTACTATGTAATATTTACTGATAACGTCATATTTTTTTTTATAATAACAATTTTCCGTTTGTCAGGTACGAGTAACGGTAACATATCGCCAAGAAAACATCGTCGATTGAGAGATAGCCCACGAAGAAAAACTGGAAATAACTCTAACAATGCCAAATCTCCAACAACTGCTAATAACCACGCTGTTTACAGGTTCAATAACATCAAATTTGATACACTTTAAACTACCTAATTTTAAAAATATGGAAAATAATTTGTCATATTATGCTTCCAGACCAAGAAGAAAAAGTGGTTCGAACGAAAGCATATCACTACCCGGTAGTTTACCGCGAAGAAAACAATCAATACCTACGGTTCCTTGCTTAAGTTCTTTAGAAGCGGAAGATATAGAAACGACTAGAACGCTTGCTAGTGCAGGGTCGAGATTGACCCCTCTTCGGTACATAAAAAGCCCCAACACATCACCCAGACACAATCGAAAACAAGATCGAGGTAAAAAAAACTAAGCAGTCACTGAAATCTTTTTTATTTTACTTAAAACTGATAATGGGATACTTAAATTACACTTATTCATGTATATAAAAAAGTAATAAAGGGTACTTAAAATAATATTTTACACTATTTTTCAAATTTTTTCTTCGATAATCGTTAACTTAACAATTTTTATAAGAATTCACGCTTGAAGTAAGTAAGAGCGCAGTACCTAAAAAAGCTTTATTCTTTAATTTTTTTTTTTTATTATTTAGATGGTAAATTTGCCAAAGCGGCATCAGCAGAGTCACTCCGCTCTGTATCACCAGGATCAGATTCCGTATTCTATTCAGAACAAACAGAGCATAGTTTAGTAGGAGCTGATGGGGAATCGAAGGCACATTGCTTACACTGCGGCAAAGAAGTCCATATCGTTACAGCTACCCACGAACATGACAGTGTGGCTTCAAGGACATCTCATACTGATGTAAGTCATCTTCTGTATTATACTTTGGATCTAATAGATACGAACAGTTTAATTATGTTAGCAAAATACTACGGAGTAAAAATAGAAACAAATTATGATCAAATAATTTAATATTTTGTCTGATTTTAGGAATCCTATGCAGATGCAACGCCAGATATAGTTCCAGCACCAGCTGGTTTCGCAGACTCACCTTCTTGTGCTTCAACTAAGAAACATGCAAGCGGAGCACGACTATATAAGAAATTAGACAAAAGATATCGATCTGAAGACAAATCAAGACATTACTACCGTAATAGACAAGACGTTCGAGCAAAGGTAAATATAATTTATTTTGGTATTGAAACTTACGTGTAGTAAAATTACCAAAATCTAATATATTCTAAATAAGTTATCAATATGTCCAAAAAACTCATATCAATATCCGTTTTTGAATAGTAATTACTTAAAACATTATGTTTGATACATATTTTCTTATCCTTATCGTATGCATATCCCCATCGACAAATACATTTGAATGTACCAGGAAGATTTATACAGTTTTCTGATAGCCTATTGCAGTTATGTTTACCAGTAGCACATTCGTTTATATCGACACACATCCCAAACTGAGACTTCCACACAAACCCTTTTTCCTTACAATTACAAGAAACATTCCATCTATTCTCAATAATATCATCTAAGTTCTGATTGTCCTTACGGTCAAATCGGCAGGTTCGAAGTTTTTTGTCTGTACTATAAGCATTCTCGATGAAGCAAGGATTCTGTTCATTTTCATAGCAGTCTGACACTGATTTCACATGTTTTAATGGACAACACGGGTCTGGACAAAAACTGTACATGGCACAAGCAAAAGAAAACTTGTCATCTGAACGAGGATCATGATTACGGTATCCAAACGTTGAATCTAAGCAATTAGCAAAATTATCACAAGTTTCGCCAAGCATGGACAGAGCAGGAATGCCTTTCATTGTATACCAACACATATAATATGACGCTGACGTTCGCCATTGGAATTTTTCTTCGGGAGCGTCGAATGGAAGACCAGTTTTCTCTGCGTACAAAAGAGCTTGCTTACAACTATCATTCAACTTACTTATAGAAATCTCATCAAGATTTTTTTTCTTTTTCAACGTTGTTGTTATGTCATCGTTTCTAGTAAACGGAGCGGTTTCAATTACGCTGGACAAATACTTGACGCATTCATAAAAATCTTTGTAGCAATTTCCGTAAACTTTCCAATGGACCGCTTTCAAACTTGGTTCTGGAAAAGCGTGATAGAATCCAACTTGCAATGTGTCTTTTGGTTTTTCTCGAGAATATCTTCGATCCCATTCATTGAATTTGTGGTTTCTCAGGAAATAAGCAACGTCTTGTAAGGCATTTACTAACCACTGATCATCAAATACTAAGAATGTTGATTCTTGTGTTTGTTCTTCTGACTTTGGAAAAGTTGTTGATGATGGTGGATTAAGAATATCGTCTAACGCCTCTTCAGGTTCACATAAACAAAAATGTTGGGTTAAGTTTACACACAGCATAAAAGTTACACAAATGTACCGTAACAGGAACATCTTATTATGTTATTTTGTTTTATACAAACGTGAAATTCACATTTACTCCTATATATATACTTATACTCGTTTCATTAGATCACGAGAGTTAAAATGCCAAAACTCCAATGACATTTGACAAAACAATCAAATAGAAAATGTTTCCAAAAAGAATATATTACTAGTCAATCAAACTTTGTATTATATCAATAATGTCTTAAAACTAATATTTTATAAATTCATTTTTATTTTAGTCTGAAGAAAGAGGTAAAGAGGAATATGCATCGAGTGAGAAAACTCAGGATACTCGCATAGCAAGATCTGCTGGCAACAGTTTGGATAAGCTGGGCGGATCGAGCGCGAGCGTAGATCCAGACGGTTAGTGCATTGGTGTATAATATATTATTTGATCATTTTAGGACCATTAATACCGATTAAAAGAATGAATAAAATTGACGTCATTTTCATAACTTATATTTTTATTGTTGGGTATGCTATAAGTACACCATCGACTCTTTATGCATATCAGTTTAACAAAGCTTTTTTATTATGCTAATTTATAGAACATGAAGAATGTTCTGGAAGCTCTGAAGGCGCTGAAGGAAGTCGAGACGAAAAAGGAATTTATGCTGCACCTTGGTGGTGCGGAAACTGGATCATGCTATCTGAAAACAACGATCAGTGGACTAGGATCCCTCCAGGTATACATTAATACACTTATTATTTTTTATCAGTATTACTAGCTTTTGCCCGCGACTTCGTTCGCGTGGAATAGTGACTTCCTGCAGATTTTGGTATAAAAATTATCCTACGTCCTCTCTCGAATTCCGAACTATGTCTGCACTAAATTTCACAAAAATCGGTTCAGTAGTTTAGGCGCGAGGAAAAGGCAGACAGACAGATTTACTTTAGAATTATAATTGTCTGTCATATTAGGTTTGTAAAGTTTGGATTACTAAACATATCCAAGCGTTTTGAAGAATTTGGAATTGATCACTAAAGATGAAGTTCAGCTAGCATAATAATATCTAAATGTATTATATAAATGAAATTGTTCTAAACAAATGGCTTTAAAATTTAAAATTGAAAAAGTAGAAATAAATTCAAGGCTTCTTAATGTGGAATGGAAAACACGCATGACTAACTATGACACAATTGCTTTTAAAATAGCTGTCGTCGAGAAAGACAATTTAGATCGTCCCAAACCATCTAATCACAGAATAAAAAAAAACAAAAATGATGCCCGATGACTTCATTGAAAATAATATTATTGAAATTCCGATTACATCACATCTGCGGCACGATCATCACTTCCAAAAAGACTTTATACTACTTTATATATATTTTGAACCATGGTTGCTTATTGTAATTTTAAATACAAACAAAAATATAATAATAACAAATTATCCTTATAATAGTTTTGGTCCCTTTAACTTTTGGCGCCACTTCTTTTCTTGAAATTTTGATAAATTTACATTATTCCTAAGTAACACCATCATGTGCAGCTTCTTACAAAATAGTATGTTTTGTCAACAGATGTAATAGACACAGGATCTGAAGCTGGACAGGAAGACCCAACAGTATCTGAATCAGAATTCAACAAGAGATACGTGGCTTTGACGCATAGGCTAGTGCATCGACGAGCGTGCATTGAACTCAACAGGCGACAAGCTGAAAACACTTTTGGTAAAATTTAAACTAAATAACTAGGTACTCTTGTCCTTGACCTTGAAATTTCTTTTGTTCGGTAATTTTATGTTGATTATTATTGGACGAAAGCCATGTACAGCAAAAACTGTTTCCAGAAGAATTTAGTTATCCCTTTTTATATTGTGAATACAATCTTTTTCATTTAATAAATCATAAACTTGATTTTTATCGTCGCTGTTTAGTGCGAGTGTCATAAAGTAAACTTCATGATCGCGGTTACCGTCTATATAAAGCCCTTCATTCCATCGTAGCTATTATAAAACAGGTACCGTATTGCGTCATTACTATTAACGAATAGTTAACCGCTCCACTTCGGAAGCGTGACGTGCAAAACTATTCCTAGTATTCTCACATTTTTAAATAGCATCACCTATTATTTAAAGATTGTCCTCCGAATTCCTTAGTACATCCATGTCATTGGCACAGAAAAAAAATTGGCTGCCAATGTCGTCATCTCATTTTCCAATATTTTTTTACGACCTTGACATGAAAGTAATGAATTTTAATAGACCATCAAGATGAGTCACGCGATCAATTTTAGTTTCAATCAGTGAAAGGTACAGAATCGTTTCAGAATCAAAAGTGACCGAACTGTTGCGAACTAAAATTAATTCTCGTAGCGTGTTTGAACGTCAGTGTTCAGTTGTTGACGACACGCTACTGCGGCCAGATGATATTTTTACGTCTGACGTTCGGCAAATGTTTAGTTCGTATTGATTTTACATAGCAAAACTCGTCTAGACGACGGTTAATGACGTAATTTTCATGCAGTCCATGCGGACAGTTAAAAGTGACATACGCCGGTTCAAAAGTTCAAGTGCTTAGTTTGGACCGTTGGATTTTTATTCAAGAATGGGACATTCATGTGAGTAAATTTTCTCGTGGACCAATTATTATTTAACACAGTTACAGAAGGTAAAGCAATAGTTACCTGTTCAATTGTTCTGTTTTTTAGTCAAAGACATGTTGAACTCCAAGGGGAGTATAAGACAGAAATTGGAGGAAATTCTCAAGCTGATGCTGATGTTATGGTGTCGGCAGAGCCAAATTAGCAGGCTTGTGGCTCCAGAACCATGTGGTAATACGAGATGAAATTATTGAGTGTTTTATTTTAATGTACATGCCTAATTCATAAAAATAATGCATGTAGTCATTATGTGTGTTCTTATCGAAATGGCTATGTTAGATTAGGTAAAATTTATGTGACTTATGTATATTATTATAAAAAGTCTAACTTACTTTCGTAAAATGTTTAACACCTATTAACCAGATTGAAAACTATTTTAGTGTTAACGTGATGGACGGTATGTAAAATATTAATTAATATTAATCATTGATGACAGCACATTATGTCACTAAAACAGTTTGACAGTAAATGACCGTTGCTATACTAACTGCACTTTCTGCTTTGCATGAATGAAAAGTTTCGGTACAAATCTCCTGGGCATTAGCCAAAAGCGAAAGTTTTTCTGCAAATATTTGGACGGACATGCTCTTACCATCTAGAGTACGTATGTGTGTCATGGCCAGATTTCCTCGGACGAGTTTATTGCCGCCTCTAGGCCAACATCATTGTACTATTTAGATAAGAAAATAAATATTAGGCCGGGAATGACGCAAAGAAAATATACAGCATGGCAAACTTATGAGTCTATTGTTAGATGATTATTGGTTTATTATTTCGTTTTACTATTATATTCATCTAATATTTGTTAACCGTTTTACTGGTAAAACGTTTTTGCTGTAAGTGGCTTTCAAGAGTTTTAAAGATTTCGATGTTCGTAAAAATATTATGATTCGTATTTATAGAGTCCTAAAGTGAAGGTCTTATGGATCATCTGGTTTTGCTATCAATTTGGTTTGAGTATAAGCACAGCATATACTGAGTGTATAATTTTATTTTTAAGGCCGTGATTTATTTGATTTAATGAATACGCTCAGAATATTTTTTTTCACTTCTCTACACTATATCAGTGAATGAACCTCTTTGGTCAGGAAGACTGTAAATTATTATCTAAATACTATGATCAAAAATAGTCAAGGCATGATGTGATTTATTATTTTACAATTTACAGAGAGCGACAAAACAGTGGTAGTAAGGCGTGGTAATGAAGAGTTTGGTTTCCGTATCCATGGAAGCAAACCTGTTGTGGTATCTGCTATCGAGCCTGATACGCCTGCCGAAACTTCTGGACTAGAAGTTGGAGACATCGTTATAGCTGTTAATGGTAATAATTCTTAATGTTGTATCAAAATTAAGGTCCTTTTATTAAATTGAATTGATTTTTCAAGCATTTTAAAAACGTATATTGTAAAAAATATTAGGAATTCACGGAGAGAAGTGGACTCATCGTCATTAAAAAAGAAACTTAATAATACAAAATATAATAAAATAATTTAATACTCAACGGCATGCGGTAATTTTCAAAACAATAACAATGAACTGGGAGATTTAGTACCTACTACATAATCCTGAACTGGAATCCAGCTGCACTTTCATTTCAATTGGAAAATTTATTACCCACTAAATCCACTCGATTGATTTATTGCAGTGCATAATGTTCAACAATATATTTACAGGAATCAATGTCTTGGATAAGACGCACTCGGAAGTTGTGAAGATTGCGCATTCCGGATCGGAAATTCTTGAATTAGAGGTAAGTTTTAGGTAGAAGTTACTTTTACAACTGTACCAGGCAATGTTAAGAAAGGGGCGAGAATGAAGGAGGTAATGGATTCATTCATAGATGATGATGATTAGTGGATGAAATGCTTCATTTATAAAGAAGGTGGAGAAGGTCCACATGACTATGATAAATGAAATCGGGTCGATATTGTAGCTTATGTTGCGCATAATAGTAAAAGTGTATCCCGAACACCTACAGGAACCTGTATGAGAACCCAAAACTTAAAACCATTCTATAAACGAAGCAACCGCAGAATTACTTAATCGTATCTGCATAGTAGTCTGCTTGCATTACCTAATTAGTAAATCAAACATGTTTTATTTGATAATAAACAGTCATCCATAAACTTTACAGTGTAGCATCCGTTACATAAATCAAATCAATCCAATCATACCACATCGTAACCCATTTTTGTGAACTAATTTTATTTGAAGTGTAACATTCAGATATACATCCATGATCGTAAATATTTGTACTTTACTGCCGTTTCAAGATGATCTCTATAGGTTTTGAGTGAGATATGATTGTTTGATCTACTCCTGAGATTGTTGGCCAAATAGCTTCTTGACTAGATTTTCAGATAAATCATATGAGTTTTTTGAATGAAATATTCTTAGTCTCAGGGTCTCAGCGTTTATGCGGGCGGGCTTTCATATAAACCTTAAAGTCTAAATTGTCGAAAAAAGCAAAAACAGTCAATTTTAATTTGCAACTTAAAATACTTGAACTACTGAGACTACTCACTTACACAAAATGTAATAGATTAATTAGACCTCAATATATGGCGTATGAGGAATAATTTTTATTTAAATAAATACAGTAGTTTTTATACTTTTACACTTGAAACAATTTTTATAAGGTAATAGAGGATTGCATTAGGTGCTACTTTATACCTCCTTGGTCTATTCTACTGTGTTTAGGTACTTCAGAAGTAGGAACAAGTATAAATATAGGTATCCTGAAAAGTTACATCTTTATTTACGTATTTCATAAGCGATATGTCATTCGCAAGTCTTTAAATATTGAATATCAAGAGTTTTACGGATATTAAAAAATAACATGACTCCTTTATTTTTTACTTGTCCAGGTGGCTAGAACATGTGAGGTGGTAGCCTCATTAGCACACGAGGGAGGACCCGCAGCTTTGTATTCAGGGTACCTATGGAGGGCAGCTCCAGCTAGACCCCACCATCCTCCACGATGGACCAGACGATGGTTCGTCCTCAAGAGAGACAACTGCCTTTATTACTATAAGACAGATTCTGTAAGTATCTTTAACTATATCATTGTTAGAACTAGGCACGGTTGAAAATGTACCTGTCTATGCACTTTATTTTTTTATTCTCAATATGTTACAATGTTTGCAAAACAGAACATTTGCTTTGTAAACGCATAAATAAGAATTTAGAAAAGTTTAGTATATTGTCTAAAATACGACGACGATTGTTAACACTGCCATCTATTGATTATAACTTGTATTTTTTGTAGAGCATTCATCCCGTGGGAGCTCTCATGCTTGTGAACTATCAACTGACCGAAGAGGACGCAGGTAGACCCCACGGGTTTCGATTACATCGCGGCGGTGGCGTGCGTTTACAACTGGCAGCTGATACTTCTGAGGCAGCCGCTAGATGGCGTGCAGTGCTCGCGCATGCTATTGATGCTAGCAATCAGGTAAGACTCCTTATTTAAGTCTCAAGTTAAGTTTATTACAAATTCCATTTACTAAAATGAGAAGGTAGTTCATTTTTATAAAACAAAAACGTGCAATATTGTGCAATGCGCAATTTTACAATAAGTATGTGATAGTTCTGTAGTAATATAATAGATGGCGCTTATCTCAACCTTATTTGTTTAAGTACCACGTTATCTAATTGCTGTCAATGAACTTTAGAGACTCCATAATAGAAGTTCGTAAGCATTAAAGATAAAATAATGACTACTTCGCTCTTTGCTGATAAATTTATGATAAAAAGGAAGTTAAGCACTTACTTTTTACCTTCCAAAAATTCTTGGTTAACATTTCTTATGAGTAATCCTATGTTCGTACTTATTTGGGTAGTTCATAATGCCTACGTGGCGAAAAATAGATTCTTTATTCAAATTTTAAAATACCTCACAACTTTTTTTTATCTGTCCATGTGGTCTATGGTGTGAGACGTGGTAACTGATTGTTTTTTTTTTATTTTTTTTTATTTTATGAAATCGTACTGGTTACTGGGTTTTGAGCTTGGTTAGTAACAATAGATGTCCTACTGTGAGTCATTACAATGGAAAAGGGACTGTAATAACATGACTGATGAAAAGTGACCACATTGTAAAAAATATAATAATATATTGGACTGTTAACGTGACCACGAAGGAAATATAAAATTAATAATACATTGGTTAAAATAAAATTGGCTACTTGAACTTTTTGTAAATTATATTGTATAAGATTTGAAACATCTTGTCACATGTATGTATAATAAAACACCTAATGAGGGTTAAATTTCGCGCTAAAAGGCTACGTGGCACTAATTTCAACGAAATGACGTCGCCGCGGCTATTCCTATTTCTCCTTGCAAAGTATGACACTGTTACTATGGCAACCATGTGACCAGTTCAAAAGCCAATCTTGTCGATATGTGTTTTGTGACGTCACGTTTATAATGGAGCTGGGGTTGCGGGGCAAGCGCAATGAGGCACCGCAGCCTTGGCCCAGAGCAGGAGATGGAACGGGGGATATTTAGTCAATAAGAGTCTGACTCACTCCCTCTCGCCCAACCCTACGTCTACTATCATCAAATAACGAGAAGTCATTTGATGATATTCTCCTAACAAAAGAAAGCCTTTACAATGAAACTTTTTTATTATAAAGGTTTTGATAAAAATAATCTGTAAATGTTACCATTACCAAGGCTATAATTTCCTATAGATACTTTTTATATTGTAGGTATTGTTTACATCGGTCAAGTAGCCAATCGGATGTATTTCACTATGACTATGATTACCATTATAATGTTATATAAAAAAGGAGTTGCATTTCTGAGTCCGTTGACGTTCTTTTACAGAGTCAGAAATCTGAATTTGTACAGTGTAGGTACTTGTGCTCTAGGCTCGCCCTAGGCCTGTAGTATTTAAAAGGTGTATCTCTGTGTACTCTCATAAATAAAAATTGTGAGTTATGGATATGTAATAAGTATCAATATTGTTTACAGCGCGACGGCTGGTTGGAAGTAACGATGAGGAATATGAAACTACCACCTTCATCGATACCAAGACCTGACTGTTTCGGTTACCTAATGAAGCTTGGATCTAAATGGAAATCCTGGGCCAAACGTTACTGCGTCCTCAAAGACGCCTGCCTCTACTTTTATAATGATGGCAACAGCAAAAATGCTTTTGGTAAGTGTTGCAATCTTGGTTGTGATTAATATTTTCAGTATGATAGAGCGCGATAAATTGGTTACTAAGACTGACTGAAGCTGAAAAAACTGGTTCTGATGGTTATGAAGAAAACAAAAACGACCATAATAATGTGCCAGTTAGTTTAGTCGTTTAGTCCTAAAAGCTTATTTCTTTAAAGCAATGTTTATTCGCATAGCTGACTTACTAAGGGTCATTTGGTAATACCCATAAAATTGAAATTCGATATTGCATTTCTAAAATAATCATTCATTTACTAAAAATTGACCAATTCCTTTTTTCTTTTACAACATATGTAATGTACCTACACTAAACAGTAATCTACTGCTTGTCTTCCAAAGGTATGGCCTGTTTGCACGGCTATAGAATACAGACTTGCGCTCCTGGTGGCAAGAAATACGCCTTCGAAGTTATGCCGACCGAGCCAAAACAGAGGCACTTCTACTTCCATACTGAGTCCGAAATGGATAGAAAACGGTGAGATTCAAATTTTATTTTTACAGTATGTATGGCCGCGTAGACATCGCTATAAAAGTTATTTCAAATTTGGAATTGTCAATCCTGCTGTAGCTAGCGTTGTTATCATTTGTTTTTTATGCGATTCTGCTTTAAATTAGCATTTGGATTACCTGAGGGTGAGCAATAACCAATCGGAAACACCGCACAACCGCAACGTCATGTGAGAGGCAAAATAATGGAATTGTTTTACTTCGGCAGAAACCATATAATGTTTAGTTTATACTTTTACTATAAAAGTTTAAACGAGATCGAGAGATATAAAAAATCGAATTAAGATAATTATACCATCGTTTTGGATGTCAGTAAAATAAAATAACAAAACAATATGCTTCATAAATGTTCGTTAAGTTTGGCCTTAGGCTTACCATCGACTGTTAGTCCGTTCCACTCTATAATCCTTTTTGAAATAAATAAATAACTACATCGCTAACAAGACCTTAATTATAACAGCCATTTTATAGGCGTGTTGGCCTAGTGGCTCTTAGTGCCCATGAAACTCAAGGTCCTAAATCGATACACTGTTCTATGTTCAGATTACATTTCTTTTAAGGCATAGGCCGTCTAACATTACCTGATGGTAAGCAATCGGCGCCGCTTGGGGACACCGGCAATACTAAAGTGTGAATGAGTGCGTTGCCAGCCGTTTGAGGATCAGGGTTTCGGATATTTAAGGTTTGGGGGGAGATGGGCAGGAAATATTAAAATATCAGTCCTATTTTTAATTGAAAATTTGATTATGTAAATTCAAAATGAGAATTTAACAAGGGTTCTTACTTAATTACATTTTTATTTTTATAAAAGGTCAATATTTTAATTGTATATTTTTTGTTTTTAGGTGGATGGCAGCTTTGGAGTATTCCATAGACAGATGGATGAAGGCTGGTTGACGTCGGGCCCTCCTCTCGGAAGATTCATTCGATTTTATATAATTTTAGATGTATTAAATATATCCACTGTTATTCCATTATTTGATTTATTATATTTTTTTCGTTAAATGTTTTTAACCCATTTATTAAAATATAAAGAATCTATTTTAGCCTAAATTAATCTTTAGGCAACTATAACGTTGTGTTTCAATAGATGGATGCAATTAAATTTTTCGAGTTTTAAGCCATGTAAAATATAAATATAATTCTATAATAATAACACCTACAAAAACCACACAAAATCAAACTATATACCTAGGCTTAACAATAGAGTTTTTAATGAAAAAAAATCGAATTAAGCCTCCTATAAAAATAATAATAAAATTTTACAATCTAAAAATGTTCAATGAATGGGTTAAAAACAGCATACGAAAATTTATACCTATCTTCCTAACGACATTATAACTTAGCGCCTTCCATAATTTAATTGTGAAATTTCACATGGCAATTTTCGAATTCTGCTCGGACAAGCCTAGCGTGCAGACAACACTATGAGAAATTAATTGAACACGCTATCAGGGTTCACTAACACACATAGAGTGCTCGGAATTAATCGTTTTATTTAAAACTTATTTTTCGAAAAAAATATCAAGGTATCATTATAACATCCCGTCCTCTGAACCCTAAATCCATGCCAACCGAAAGTTGTACTATAGGAAAACATATTTAATTGTTATAATAAAATAATCAGAAATATATTTATATTATGAATTATAAATTGCATGTATTTTTTCTTTTTCGATAAATTATAATTGAATTTTTAAATATTTCAAGTAGATAATTATCACGGCAACGACGCATCGAAAATAAAACTTGTATTAAATGCATAGCTTTAATCTATGTAATTCTAAATAGATATATTAAAATGAAATATATCAATGATGTTAATCGCTAAAATCATTATATAAAAATGTCTTTTTATACACCTGATATTACGACTGATGAAAATGAGACTAAAATGGGAAATAAAAATAATTCAATAAAATATTCCTACTATACAAGTATACACAAGTTCTGGAAACGAATAATAAAATGAATTATAAATTTATGAATAATATCAGAAATTCGAATGAAATGAAATGGAACGAGAAACTGAACTTAGAGTAACGACTGACATCTAAATATACTATAAAAATGTTGATGGCAAAAAATCTAAGAAGGTATAATAAGATGAAATAATATTCCTACTAATAGTTACATTTATGAAATAGGTGTGAAACGTAGAAACATTACATTAAATAAATAGTAGGTATCATTATTGATGTGCCAATTCGTTAGTATATTTATTAAGCCGTAGTTAGAATTTATCCTAAAAAGCACAATCCACTGGGTATAATTTATCATTTTATTCTGTAACCCTATAATTAAAATGGTGATTATTATCAGTGTTGTGAATTTTTCGAATAATTATTTACATAATATAAGCGTTGTATCATTTTATATAATTATTCTTATTATAATTTTCTTATTAATATTGTTGTAAATATCGATAATTTTGATGGAGGGTTACAGAATTTACCGATCACTTTATAAATATTATTCAAAATTAATGTATTTAATAATATATTATAAAAATATGAATTATAAATTATAATAATAAATTATTGAATGGTATAATCCCCTTTAGAATGTGGTCCATACTAGGTGACTTAAATTGTGCATTAAAATGATAAAATATAATAGGAAAAAAATTAAATCCGTATTTGATGAATTGTAAATAAAATAATCAGTAAAAGCTCAATATTGTATTTAAATAATGAATAAAAAGACTTGATTGTAACACAGTCGGTAAAAGCTTATAGAATAGTCATTGTAAATTAGTGAATGTTTACATAGAGTTATAAATAAATATATAATTTACGTTTTATTTATGGCAAATTTATAAATGCACGTTGTTTACAATCATAGTTTATGTTTTATTGATAATTCATAGATTTATCATCAATATTATTATAAAAATAATATATTAATCGTTATTGTAATGTGTTCAATAAATAAGTGGATCAGAAATATAAAAGGAAACCATATTACCTATTTATTCTTACCAAAATGATTGTAGTACCATGTTCATTTATTTTTGCCAAAGAATATTATGTGCCAGATTTTAATGTAAATGTTGCCAAATATGAATCTTTTTGTTATGTTACAATTTTATTCAAAAATATGAAATGAAATGTTTTATTTAAGATAATAAATAAATTATTAACTAGTATCAGTCAGAATTTTTTAAATAATATATGTGACTGTATTAATAGATTTCGTTGTAATAAATATTAAAATAAAATTATCTACGTTGTTTTATTAATATAAAAAACTTTTCATTACTTTTCTTGAATGCATATTGGGAAGTAATTTTTTTGGAATCAATGATGTTGTGGTTGGGGCTTAAATCTGTATAATAAGTTACAAAAACATTATCAATTAGCGTCTGTAGTCGAAATTCATGAAGCACGATACAAAGTCTGAGGGCGGTGTTAATTTACACGACTTATAAGCTACTAACACGAAAAATAAACAATTCAACGATATCCTTCCCTTTTTTATCGCTCCCAAAGTAAAAACAGTATGGAGGCTTCGGTGGGGCGGCGGTGAAGGCGCGGCGCGCGGGGGGAGCGACGCTACAGGAGCGCTACTGCCTCTGACGACGACCGACGGTAGTACGCGCGCTCAACTCCCTCCAGTCGCGCGCCATGCGCACGCGCAGCCTCAACGCACAGTGATGCCACACTGGAAAAAAGTGTAGTGAACAAACTTGAACCTAACCAAGGATTACAGTGAACAATTTAAAAGTGCATTATTATCGTGAACCCAACTGAAGAAGTGACAGTTTAGCTACAGCAATAACATTTTTGTTCGGTCTCTATTAACTGTTTTATGGCCTGTACAGTGCGTCTATTGTTGTGTTCGCTTCTACTAATCTCCTATTCACCTGTCTCAACGCCACCTCCTGCGGTCGGACTGTGAAATGTGACAAAAAATTGCAATGGACATCCATTGTACGCATGCGGACGCCAGTTTGTAAACTTTGCGGGTTGACTACCTGACTACCGGAGGGTTGGACCTCGACGGATCGGACGATTGATCGCCCAACCGCCTTGTGAGTGGATTTTTTACGATTTTCGTAATTTAATACAGCGGATGTGGAATAAATTGGATAGGCCGGGTAAGCTTTGCTACCTGTTTTATCACGTGCCCCCTATGTTATTGTTTTCAACGCATGAGCTTTATAAAAACAATTCTGAGAACTAACGGGGCTGCGGTCTAATCTATTGTTCTATTTTACAGCGTTGTTTACTTAATACTTCCTGCCACCGTGCTAAGCAGTAATTATCTTGTTATTGTTAAGTATTAACTGCAAATGGATTTGCAGATTCCAGCTTTTTTGTTTAGTCGCGTGCTATTGTTATGCTAAAGCAATTGAATCCGCTGTGACTACTTTATCTATGTCTCTAACTGTAATATTTAGCCCTTTACTACTATCTATCGGCCACACACCTTTATCAATGCCATCATTTCCTGTACCTTACACATGGACATGACTTTTAGGTCACTTAGTTTCATAATCCGCTAAATATCTACTGTATGTATACACTCTTACTACTCTAAATATCTATATTTGAATATAAGCTTTCTTATAAACCATATTGGTTTTACTTTACTTCCACGTGTATAGATGTGGAATAAAACCAGGACCAAACATACTGAAAGAAAACCAGGTGCAGGAATATTGCACGAGATTTTCTGCCCTGTTTCGATCGTCGTTCAGGTCAAAATAGCATGAACGATTCAAGATAGTACTGACATTGCCAACTGAAATGACTTCCTTATGGTATTATTCGTGCGCGATTAAAGTAAGTACTTAAAGGCTTGTGTTGATAGAAACTTCATCAGAAGGAAGATTTTCATTATATGTGTTTAATAGCTGTGTGCTTATAGCAATACAAAAAGAGCTACAGGTCTAGGTACAATAACTTAAACCTCATTTAATTACAGAATCAATAAAAGGTTCGATTCTGATCACCAGCTTTGGTCATAATAGCGAAATTTACAACATCCAATCAACGAAACATAATAAAAATCGCTATAAAAACTAATTACGTTTTAGATCCGACTGATGCGTAAGCCTTGTCTACGATTCGAAACGCAGGCCTGCTAACAAGTCCAACTTTACTTCTAAGGAAAAAAGTTGATGAAGTTTCATTATAAACTGATAGACACTTATCCTTTACAAAAGCTTTAAATAAAGTTTCAAATGTGTTCAATAATTATTACTATTAAACAGTTTTATAGACTTTTATAAAACACTTCATAATTTTTGTAAGTACACCTGCAAGTACTTCTTAAAAACAGAAATTCTTAAGAAAAAAGTGTTTGCTTAGTAGAATCTCCATCAACTAAATTATATAAAGACAAAATTCTTTGGTGACGACCAATCGGTACGCGTAGGAATTTAAATGGTTTCAGAGCTGCGATATGTTTACTTTTCTAGATGTTTCTATGCGACATGGTATTGATTTATATTGAGAAATAATATAAGAAGGAAAAGCTGAAGATAAAAATATGGAACCAATAATTTTGTAAGAACTTCAACGTAATACAATTCCACATACCAATAAAACTAGAGCTGTTTATCTAGAGTAAACATTTCTAGATGCTAATAACATTGTAGTATAGGATAGAAATGAGAAAACATTACATAACGGTAACACAGTAGAAACGTCGGAAGGTTTTAATTGTTCTGCAAATAGTAGTTAATCTTAACCATCAAGAGATAGCAGTGTAATCTAATCAAAGTATGATAGTTATCAGAAACTTGCGACACCGAAAATGGATGCCGCAATAAAGATCAATAAACCTTTATAATTTCCAAGTATTTTATGTTTTGAGGTGGTAAGCGGGGAATAACTATTAATATTGATTGACTATTATCTAGTGTCAGCATAGCTACGGAATTTGAAAACAAAACAGTTACAGCTTCAATGGCTTTTCCGAGCCTAGCTATTACTTCGATTGGTAATGATTGATGTTCGTCTCTCGCTTTCTCCGTGGTCATTGTC